CAGCCAATTCCTCCCACAACTCCTTTCTCTCTCTGTAGTCATTTGGTCCATATACATTTGTGAGCACCCATACATAACCATCATCTTGCTGCTTAAACTTCATGGAAACCGAATACTTCCCAATCAGCTCCTCCAGGCCTTCAACCGCATCCCTCTTCCACATTGTTACAATCCCCCCGAAGCACCCCACGAAGGAGCAACCACCCAGCTAATCTCCCTGGCTTTCCATACACTCCTCGCCCAACTATTATTAAACTCCATTCTCTTGGACTCCTGTAACAGAACAATATTTGGGTCATACCTCCTTATCACCTCTTTTATTGCTGCTCTTTTTCTTGTACTCCGTATTCTCTTCACGTTCCAACTAAGTATCTTCATTTCCACTTCTTTCTTGACTCCCTCTCTACCTACCCACTACTTTCCCCCTTTTCTTCTATCTYYTGTTGCYYCRAACTTCTYATYCCCTTCYACATCTCTTTTCAGTCTCTCTACTTCACTCAACTTCCTCTTCTTTGTTTTTATCTCCTTCCTCTTCTGTAGACCTGCTTTCAGCACATTCAGATCTTCTAGCATACACCCCATCTTCCCCACAAATTTTGCTATCATGTCCTCTTTCACCGAATCCTCCACCCCTATCCTTCTTGCACTTTCCCCTCCAACTCTGCCCCCTGCCCTTCCCTCCTCGCCTCTGGTCCCACCCCTCTTCTCTCCTCTCCAACCATCCCCCCTCTCCTGTTACCTGCCTCCAGCCATGTTCTCTCCCTACATTCCTCTCCCACTCTACCCTCCTTCCTTTCCTTCCTTTCCACTGACCCCTCCCCTCTTCCTTCCTTCCCACCCCTCCTCCAAGTCAGAATTCCTTCAACTTCACTAAACACTCTTCCAATGATTTCCCACACTTTTTCGTTCCTATACCTCCCTTCCCTCTCCTCCCCACAGTCCTTCACTTCCTTCTCCACTACCTCGGACAACCCACCATCTAGCTTGGCTGCATATTCATAGGCTACAGTACATGGCGCCAGGACGGAATCTGGAACCAAAGACATAGGAGACACATTAGTAGCACAACCCGAATTCACTTTGTTACCTGGGATTGATAGAAAGGTTGGAAAAGGACTCTTCCCAGCCTGCCTCTCTTGTTCCAGAGGTTGGTAAACGTCTGTCTCCCTGAGTTGGTTGGAAAGTACTTCCGTCCTTTGGTTACTCTGGTGATCTCTCCTCTCTACCCCTGAATCACCCCTAGGAGGTGTGTTCCCGCTTTGCTTCAGGTTCTCCCGATTTGCCCCTTTTGTTGTACCTTGCACACTTTGGAGTCTTGGAGATGAATTAGTCTGGTTACAACCTTCACCCTGAAATAAGCTTGCAATATTCCACCCATCCATGTCACCTCCGACATAGCCACCTTCGTCGTTTACACTGCCCATGCTGGTACCATCATCTGAGCTTTCGTCCAAATCTTCATCTTCCTCACTGCATTGCACCCAACCTTCATCTGCCTCTTCCCTCTCTTCTGCTCTTTCCCTTGCATATCTTGGATTTGGCCTGTCTGAGGAGCGTCGCAAGGAGCTAACCTCCTCATAGTTCCAACGGGGGACCCATTGAAAGTTTCCCTTCTCCAACTTCCGCTGCTGCGAACGTCCCCCGTCCATTCTCGCCATTTGGGACGAAGATGGACCAAGTTCACTGTCTAGTAATGGTCTATGTTGTGTCTCCTTACCCCGGCCCACGTGACAACTTAAGTTATCACGTGGGTCATTCGAAAAAGACCTGTGTTCAGTATTAGGCCCGTTCGACCCGCCTGCATGGCCCTTAAGTTGTCACGTGGGCCCTTAAATGAGTGGCCCGGTTCACTTTCCAACCCGCCC